TTTCTTGTAGAATGACTGGCATTCTTGATGATCAATCGTTGTTAACGTTACTTGCTTCAGATTCGCAGTCTTTTTCCCTTGACGATCGGCTATCATCCAACTAACCATTTGCAATTTTACACCCAGTGGTACTTCTGTTTCAGATAGCGCAACCGGCTGAATTTTCTCGTTGAATTGAAGTGGTTGTATTAGCTGCAAAAGTTCATTATGTTACCGACATTTACGCGGTTGATATATCGCAAAAAACAATATTTTTCAAAACCAAAAGATCTTAGATCTCAGCATTTTAGTTAAATGATTGATTATACCATAGAGGGGACCGTTTAATTGATAATCTTTAGCACTTTAATTTATAAAAGAATTGAACAAAAAATTCTAAATTATTTAAATATTAGAAATAGTAAGTTAAACCACTTATTTAATTATTCAAATATCGAACAAATGACAATGTGTATACATGTGTGTGTGTGTGTGTGTATGAATAAATTTAATTATAGTATAAAAACAATAAGTACGAATATGAATATATACCTTAAGCACACCAAGTCCGCTAGTGACATTATTTTCAAGTGGGTTAACGTGATGATTTTGCGAGAACATTTCTTTAACAAAGATATGAACACCGCCAGGTTTGAGGCTGCTCGTGCCGCTTACTATGATTATATTGTTCATAACGTTCCAGACGTGTTCGAACGGCGGAACACATCGATCCGACGTGACGACGTGATACTCGTCAAGTATAGCGCCGGAACATGCGTGTCTGCCGTTCCTTCTAATCGACACAACATATGGATGCTGCGCGATGTCAACATCACCGTCATCATTTTGCGTTATTTCAGCATTGGCACCTGATACAAATATTTATTGTCACTTTCTAAAGATACGATTATCTGTTTCTTTCCCTGCATCAAGAATCAAGATTAAGGAAAATTTCATTTTATTTTCTTAATAGCAAAAAGTGAATAAGAGGTAACAATCTTTATTTTGCTTCACTCACACTGCAAGTAGTCTAATCCTCACAACGTGTAGTTAAATCATTATGGAGACATTCACGTATAATTATTGAAGTTCAAAATATGACTTTTCTTTCAAATATGCTATAATTGCTTAATGTGAATGAAACTTCTAATATAATGAAAGTCAAATTTATAATCATTTAAATTTATTTAATTACCTACCACTAACGGCGACGACGATCAAAATCCATGCAAGTGGTAACATTGCGAAGTATACCGTACGAGAACGTGGTTTCGAACAGAATTTCGAAAATGTCACTTCTTCACTACTGCTTATATACACGAACGAATATTTACGCAGTTGTGATCGGGGGGGGCGCCCCGATTCCGGTTTCAATGTGCTTGTACGCAATATGGTCGCGTGTATAACTAGTATGTATGCAAAATTAATGGCCGTGTGTACGATATGATTGTACGTAACGACCCTGTTGGCAATCGTTTCGTATCAGGCAAACGGAACCCTCTCTTTGTGATTAATGATTAATGATCATCTGCATACGTATTTTGGTGAGAAAAGCAATATGTACCTTATTAAAGGCACATATGGTAAAATGACAGTTTCCTTCTGACTTTTGTATGATTTATGAAAGATATATTTTCTTGCGTGATAAGATTAATTTAAAATGTGTTCGAGGAATCATATATCATATTTTGGATGCAATAGTCTTCCAAATAAGAAGCTATTTACTATCTCAGTAAAAAAAAACGATATCAATATGTAGCTGTTATACATTTCCGACTATTAACTAACTTCTTATACAGTTTACAGAAAAAAATATGAATTTTGAGCATTTGTGAGATACCGCGATATCAATTAAATGCATAAACTTCTCAAGACAATTTATCAAGAATAACGGATGCGCAATATATATATGCCGACAGCTAGTAAAATACCGATTCGATTCGTGAATCGTAAGTGTGATTTATATGACCATTGACGAAACGTATCAATACGCAAACACTCTAATTGCACGAAGCATACAGTCAATATAAAACCTGACAAGTAATCCACAGATATGTTGATCCTCAAAGCCGCAATAAAATTTTTAAAATTTGCGCATCAGGCGCAAGCGTTTTATCAAATTTCCACTGGCCACCTGCACAGATGTGAAAGATGACCAGTCCGAAAAAGTTATCGATAGACGTGTAGAAAGAGAGCTCGACCATGATCATCAGGCTGATGATGATGCATTGAATGAAAAATGTGTCCCTATATATGGGATCAGGATCACATCATTACGCTTGATCGGAGCCGGAGGTCGGATCGGGGCATCTTCGATTTCGCGGCCGGCTCGCGCGGGCTCGGCCGTCCTCGGTTACGCTCGGTTACGCTCGGTTTTCGCGCGAGCATGGCGCGTTTGATTCCGTAGCGATTTCGAGTATACCGGCGTACCGGGGACACGGTTCTCGAACTTTGGACATCGCGAGAGCTCTCAATGTGATATCTCGTAAGAAATAGTTTCATTCGAATTACAGAACGCATTAAACCGCTTCGTGTCGCGGAGAACTTTGTCAAACGGCGAATAAAAAGCCTTATAATTCTTGTCGCGAATCGCTGCTCGCCGTGAGAGTCGTAAGTGTACATACCGAGTGCAGATTCCGCGCACAGGCACAAGTCTCACAGGTAGACAGGTACGCGTCGATACTCAATCCTTCGCGTTTCATCCCGATTGTCAATCAAAGCGAATTCGCTCCTTGTGAGCTCCCATCATATTTCTAATCACCGGCAGCGAATTACGTGCGCCGTCGAGCGTCCGGAAAGCCGAGAATGACGTCACAACATATCGATTCGCGGATCGACTGTAAATCAATCGATGCGAACTCTCGATCGCGTAGTACGCGTACCACCGAGTCGGTGGTGTTTCGCCGTGACGTCACGGCGGCGGTAGCTGGCTTTTTCGTATTTCGGAGCGTACGGTTTTCTAGTTCGAGGTATATCGTCGCTGTGTGTATGTGAACGCGTGTGCGATGCTGTCTAGCTGTCTTCCGTCACCTTCGCGAGAACGATTCTTTGAGTAAATCGAGAGGCTGATTCAGTCGCAGATTACCGGGTGAGGTCAATGATCAGCTGTCCGCGGCGATATGGTGAGATTGGTGAGTTAGCAATGTTAATACTTGCTGTACTTGCATAACTGATGTCCATTTCTATTAATGTAGATTAATTTCTATCTCAGTTTAACACTGTTAAATTCGTAGTGTCAAATTATATCAAATTTGAGTTATTTTTAATTATTTCTATAGGTCGCAACTTAATGTGAGTGTGTGAACACGTGTGCGATGCTGTTTTCCGTCACCTTCTTGAGAACGAGGATTCTTTGAAGAAACCGACGAGGCTGGAGTCGCAGATCACCGGTGGGCCGGTAGGTCACTGATCGGCTGTCCGCGGTGATATGGTGAGTGAGCATGTTATACACTTGCATGACTGATGTCCATTTCTATTAATGTAGATTAATTTCAATCTCGGTTTAATACTGTTAAATTCGTAATATCAAATTATAGGTTCAACTTTGAGTTATTTTTGATCATTTTTTATAGCTCACCACTGCTCCTACTTAATATATGTCACTAATTTAACTAAAACAGTGTTAATTTGACTAAACTATTAAACCAATTAAAATT